TACTTATGCCAATGTGATATTTCAGTTCTTCTTTTTAATAAATTTACAGATGTTTCTAAAATTCTGTTTTCACTTTGTCATTATGAGGATAAGCATGGATTTAGTATGGAAAAGCAAGGACATTAGCCAGGCAACTAAATGCAGATTAATCCATACTATTGTATTCCCCATTGGTCTCTGTGGTTGCAAAAGCAGGACTATGAAAAAAATTAAACAGGAGAAACATTGATTTGTTCAAGTTGTGTTGAAGAAGATACCTATGCATTCCTTGGACAGCAAGATGACAAACAACCAAATACTAGAGCATATGAAACCAGGCATATTGCTGGAACGCAAAAATCACAAAATCCTGCCTTATTTTGGCCATGCGCTGAAAGTCACTGGAAAAGGCAGTTATGCTCAGAATGGTCAGTGGTAAAAGGAAAAAGGGCTATCGAAAAATACGATGACTAGACACCATCAAAGCCAAGACCAGTTAGAGTAGAAAACAACTAAAAAAAGCTGTACAAAATCAGAAAAGATGGAAAGAGTTGATCCACAGAATCACTGAGAATCAGATACAATTGAACAGATAGCATCATCATCATTATAATCTATAAACATTCTTGAGGATTATTTATGAAAATATATCTGCCTAGTTCTTGCCTCATCCACAACTTGTGAGAGCTACAGGAACTCATAAAAAGCAATATACAAATAGTCATCCATGTATGAGCAGTCGCTTAGCAACTGTTTGAAGTTATGATGGACCTATCTTGGGGCTACTTACAACCCAGATTTAAAGTTCTAATGGTCACGTGTCTGAACTTCAGGTGTTTGGCAGCACAATCATATTTATGGCCTTTTGCAGCATCTTGCGGTCACATGACACTGAGCTTCTGATAAGGGCAAACTAACTGTGCCTGCATTTACCATCTAATCTTATTCAGAAACCAGACACTTCCTTTTTTCAAAATTACAGTTTAAAAGATTTTTCCTACATCTGTTTCTCTAAAACCTCTACCTTCACAATAGTCTAGGTTTCATTTATTATTATAGTTAATAAAATGAAATGTTAATGAATCTCTGGGTAGCCCAAAACTGTTTCTTACAGATATTACATGTCTATACAGTTTAAATTGGCAAAAGTTATATGAATATGCTTTTCTTGGCTCTTTTGTGGTTTTTGCCCACATTCTTGCATAATAAGTACTGAGAAGAAAATATAAGTTGCTGGCCATCCCAATGTTTTACCAAGCACTACTTCAAGGCATGATGGGTTGAAAAACATAATGTATTTGTCAGATAGCAAATAAATGTTTGGGGAAAGGCTGCCGCAAATACTGAAAAGCAGAAATAAATATCAGTACTATAGTTTAAAAATCCAAGCAGTACCTAATAATAAAGCTGATTTAAAAACAAGAAAATTGGCAGTTGAGTAGGAATGTTGAACAGCAATAAAAATACAGTCATTTTTTCCAACCCTTATGACTGTTATAACCACAAAAAATCATGTCTGACAATAGAAAATGCTGGCACTTTCAATTTCAGCAACTTGCAAAAACAAAACTAAAAAAACTTTACCCCAAACCTTTGTTCTTTCCTCATCAGCAAAACAAACATTCTCCATTATTGTTATATAAACAATTAACTAATATTTAAGCAATCAAGCCTATCATAATGCATTTGAAGAACATGAAATTTCCAGAACCTCTTTTTTCTACAGCATGTTTCACAGCCAGTATTGAAATGTTCCTGCAAAACTTTACAATGGCATCAACTACACTGACGTTTGATTATTTATGCCAGTTGAGAATTTATGCCTAAGATTTGTAACTTGATAGTCTCAGAAATTGACTTTGTATATCCACAAAATTGTTTCTTCACCAGCCCAGCCCAATACCATGTTACAATTTTCTATGAAACAGAACAAAACTAAGTTTAAAAGTTTGCATACCACAATTTATAAAAATCACATTTAGGAAAAATAAATCTAGGATATCTTCAATTCATAATGTAATCAAGAACAATGCAAAATATCAATTAAAATTGAATTGATTTACTCTAGTTGGATCTATCCTTACTTCAATAGAAGATTATTCATGGTATATTTAATGTTGCAACAAAAACTACAAATGTCTTACCTTGTTCCACCAGCCCAGAATTCTTCAAAGAAAATCCCTCCTATTATGGTTGATAAATGGAATTTGCAGTGATATCATATTTCTAATTATTAAATTTTGGAGGGGAAAATATTTCACCTCTTATACCTAGAACTGAAAGTAAATCTATTTTTGCAAAATCTTATTTACCAACAGATTTTATGTTTTCTATTGTTATTAGGTCCCCTTCCACCTGCCCACAAAATAATTACTTCTTATGAAACAGTCAGCTCTTTGCAACCTGATGCATGTATTTTCTTTACTTACCCAGATTATCCTCCTTTCATCTAGACCAGAGGTGGGGAAATATGGCTCCTTTGTGACTTATGGCCTTCAACTGCCAGAATTCCTGAGCTGGGATTGTTCCCCACCCCTGATCTAGATTAAAAATAAAACATGCAAAGTTGAGAGATAAACTAAGAAAGAGGATTTTCCAATCCATCAGTATTTCAAATATCCTATTAACCTTTGAAACTATCAATGTCTAAAGGAATAAATATTTATTTCATTTAAAAGACTAGTAAGACAACTTTCTTAGAAACTATACACGCACATGCATGGGCGTGCACACACATTAAACAAAAGATAAAAACAGAAAATAATAAGAATAGAAACCTGGCATCACAGCCAATATCCATCAATACAGCCAGCACTAATATCTTCAGGTTCCAAGTCACCCTGTTTGACTACTTGGGGGAAGAATCAGGTCATTATACCTTTCTAGAAGGTCAAGAGAGTGAGTGACTGCCAGATCATAAGGGGAAGAGTTCCATAGAGCAAAGGCTACCATGGAAAAAGCATGCTTCATGTCTCACTAGATGGCAAAAATTGTGGAATGAGAGCACAACTTTTCTATTTGAACTGGTGAAACAAGTGGTCCAGAAAAGGGGACAATTGGCAGACAAGATGAATCTGCGCAAAGACTTTTGCTAGCCATGGTTACCACCTGCTCCTTGATAGTAGTCATGTGTGTAGGAGATCTCCCAAATTGTCCAATCCTTCAGTCCACTATCATTTCCCCCATCCAGAGTATAAAATAACACATCAGCAGGCCATGGAAAGCCAAAAACAAGCTATCGCATCTTGCCAGGGATGAGCCAGAGTCATCCTTCCCCATCCAGACCTTCACAAGTTCCAGGCACTGGGTCTGCACTGCAACAATATCACCTGCCCAACCCAGGGTGGAGATATATAGCTGGATATTATCACCATATAGCACTGATTCAGTAATTCTCTGCAGGGATGATATGTGGGAGTTTCTAACAGAAATATTTTTAAAGCTGTCTGTCACAAAGAATATTAGATTCTTTTAGCTTTTTCAAAGTGGCATATTCTGCAAATGGAGTAAGTAGCTACAGTTATCTATAACAGAAATAGTGTCTCCGTGAACAGAGCCTAAATAAATGTCAAAGAGGAAACAATTTTAGTTTTTTGAAGAAATTCTTGGATTAGAAATATGTTTTACCAATAATTATTTTTAAAAATTCCTAGACACCAGATCAAATTTATTTTAAATTCTTCAAATTAGCATCTTTTTAAACAAAAAAATAGAAAACAAAAGGCACTCATTGTAAACATGCAGTATTTGGTATACAAGCATTTCTGTTTTGAAAGAACAACAAAATACAAAGAAAGACCAGGAACGCTGAATTTATTTTACAGAACTATATAAATTATAGACTAATCCAGTTCCTTTTTGTAAATATCTACCTCCCCATGGCAGCCATTTTGTGAAAGCCATGACCTCATGACAGTTATTTTATGGTAGTGCCACTGAATCTTTTTTAGAATTTGGCATTACCTATGAGTTTAACAAGTGGGTTCAGTGTATAATTTTTCATTTTATAGTGACATTGATAAATATTACTTTTGGACTAGAGCCATTTTATCTTTCTGGACTGAAGCATGGAAACAAAAAGCCAGAAGGCAACAAGATGTCCTCCACATGTTCTGGACTACAATTTTCAAACCCCAATTGACCAGAATGTCAGTCTTATGGAACTATTGTTCAAAACACACAAAGTGAACAGATTGCATAAATTGCTTCAGCTACAATATTATCTTTAACTCTTAGGATGAAATTCTACCAATATTAAGACCAATAGCAGAGATGGTAAATAACAAGGAAGAGTAATGTCAGCTGTTCTAGATTTAACTGAAAATAAGATTGTTCAGGAACTAGAAGTTAGGAAACACAAGAAGTCAAGAAGCTGGTCATTTACAGAGAAAAAAAATACTTGGTTAAAGTTGCGTTTATCCCTCCCATTATAAATATGACCACTCTGATTAACAGAAAGAATCAGATGTACATCCTGAATCAAGAAGCATTTAAGTCAATCTTTTCAAACTTCTCAGCTTTAAGATGTGTGAACTTCAACTCCCAGAATTCCCCTGCCAGCATGCGGGAAAACTCTGATTTTAAGTTAAGAGGCATTCAAAAAAGCCGACGCGACCAAGCCCAGAGGAAAAGGCTACTTTGTAGCAGCAGAGCGTTTTCTACGAAGTAAGGCGGGCGGGCTTCAGTCCTCTCCGCGGACTCTTTGAAGAGGGCTCTGCTGGGCTGGTCCTGCGGTCCTTCAGCACGAACGTGGCCACCGCGGTTTCTGTACCTGGAGCGCATTTAATCGGAGGCACCAAGCCTTCTCCCCAAAGTTAGCGGTCCCCGGGAATGTTAACGCACGATACAGATGGAATGGGGAAATATAATCTTGAGGCCAACGCACAAAAAACGGCGATACCTTGAGGTAGACACATTAACCCCGCCCTCGAGTTTGCCCACTCAGATGCCTCCTTCCCTCCCCGTCCAGCTCGCCCCTATAGACAGACGCACAAACAGGGCGTCCTGCGCCCCCTTCTTACCGGCGTGACTGTTGTTCCCTCTGGGCTCCGCAAATTGGGTGCCAGACGGAGAATGAGAGAGCTTCTGCCGGCGAAAAAGCGAAGGAAAAGGAAGAGGAGGGAGAAATCAGCTGCCACCGCCTTCACTTCCTCACCAGCTGGCCCGGTCCCAAACTCCGGCAACCCTCGGCACCACAGGGGGTCCCGCGCCCGCCCCCCCTCCCCTCCGCTCCGGCCAACTTGTCTTCGCTTCCCCGCGCTTCGCAACTGACAATCGAGTCTCGCTGCTCCCCGGCAAAGGCGAGCCCTGCGCGTTCCGCTAACTCCCGCGGGGCATCTTTAATCGACGTGGAGGGAGGCCAGCCTGGGCGGAGGGTACCAGTTAAACCCCGCCTGGCGTGTTTGGGTCTCCATTCCCTGCGCAGGCGCTATAACTTTCAGCCGCGTGGAAATCCTGCCTTCGGATAACAAGCAGAGAGGGAGAGTGAGGTCGCATCTTTTTGCGGGGTCGGCAAACCAAGCTGCCTGGACCAAATCATACAGCGGAGTGTTCAGGATTGCTCAAAACAGGAGAGAGCAATGCGGTCCCTTCGTATAGAAAGGTAGCACCTCAAGGGTTCAGCCTTGCTTTTCAACAAATGGGCTTGTTGGCTGTGCAAGGAAAGATGCATTCTTCTTAAACTCAAACACCAGCTCATCTTCCTTTTTCAACATTTTAATAATAAAAAAACCCTATTTAATTCAAATGACCTTTATTTCCAGATGAATAGGCATAAGAGTGCAGTCCAAATTATTTACTGAAACTGATGAACACTTGGACAACCAATGCAATCTGCTGCACTGGCAATTTTGAAAACTCAGTGAAGTTCTACTTTATTGCGTCCTTTAAAAGAACCAGAATTTATTTTAAAGAACTATATGCACACAACTCTTAGAAAGCCTCAGGTTCCCAATACTGATAAATTTGCTAGGGAACACCACAAAAGTAAAGTCAGTTTGGGCATGGGGGGGGGGGGAGGTAGAAACAAAATACCAGCATTGCCTATCTGACTGACTTACACAAACACACACACATTGATTTTCTCCTTTTCTTTTTTTTTTTTTTTTTTTTTTTTTTGGTTTTACAGTAAACTATCACTTTCCTTGATAAAGAGACCTTCTGTTACACTTCAAAGGTTAATTATCAGTCTTAGAGTAGTGGCTGGTTAGAAGCCTTAACAATTTAGCTTTTTACAAGGAGACCAAGTTTATAGGGGGTGTTTCTTCCATTTAATGACCTCTCCAGCTTCCAAGTTCCTTTTTTCAGAAAGGAGGATACTGAGCTCATCAACACACAGGCACATACACATAATGAGCCAGCCAGGCTGAAGCAGATTCAATCCAAGGTGTTCTGGCATGAAATGAATATTTTCACTGAAAAATGCAAGACCATCTATGGTGCATGGAGAAAGAGGAGGTTTGAGGTAAGATGGAGGTGGGTGGAGATCTGCTTGATCACAATTGGCCTGAGAGATATGCTAAGGAACTACTGTTTCCTTCCATCTGGGCCCTGCGTTCAGTGCCTGTTTTGCAATGTTCACCCTTTGGGAAAGCTGGCACTTTATTCTTTATCTTCTCCTTTTTAAACCTGGTCAACCTGGAGAACTCTTAAGCCCTGAAATTTGTGTCCAGTTTGTCCAGTTATGTGTATGTAACTGAAAGTATAATTTTAGCCTTTCTCAGTTCCTCTTTTGTGGGATGTTCTTCTGAAAAGATCATTTTATCACTGTATGTAACCAATGTAGATCTGGCTTCAGTAATAGTTTCTTAAAACAATAGTTTTAAACCCACTAATAGTGGCTTAAGTAATTTCAGGACTCAATTCAGTAATATGTTTATTGGATGGTGCTAACAGTTATGGGATATATACAGTATAGTGATATTGTGCAAATGTTAATTAGTTCTAATTGTGTTTCATATAGATATTAGATACATGGGGAAAATAGGCAAGACCTGTGGTACCCCACAGAGAAGGGACTGAGGGGTTTCTTCACCTATTTGTCTGTCCCATGCTATGAACTAGAACTGCCCACTCAGGAAAGAGCATACCATAAAACAGAACCCCTCTTCTCAAAGTGCTTAAGGATACTAGAATCAGGCATATCAACTGCTGCTGACAGCAAGTAGGATGAGGAGGGCCTCACTCCTTCTATTTAGTTCCCAGGAAAGAATATCCACTATAGTGACTATAGTAATGTCATTTTGATTATATATCTCACGGGTGTCAAAGTCAATCGAGTCATGTGAAATATCATGACATATCGCGACGTTTTTTGCCTTTGTGGAGCTGGGATAGGCGTGGCCTGCGCGTGATGCATCCAGTCTGCGGGCCGCCAGTTTGACACCCCCGATATATCTAATCTGAACCCACACTGGAACACTTTTAGATCATCTGCTCTATTACACATCTTTTCTGCAATTATTACCCCACTTTTTACATCAATGTGTCCCCCAAATATACTTCTTCAGGAGCAGGTGCACCACCACCTCCTCTAAGATGGTAGATACCAACCCTCCTCCCAAAGAAGCATTAGTCATCTCTTGAATCCAAATGCAGACATATAGTTGTTCAAAAGAGCCAGGTGGGACATGGATCTAGCCCTCGGGTGGCAGAATTCTTGATGCAAATGATCTTGCCACTTCTTGAGAATTCACAAGACCAAACAAATCACAAATATCCATGCAAGGCCTTCTCCAAGTCTTTTCACAGAATTATGTTCATGAGCAATCTGGACCTGATTGAATGTAACTACATTTATTGACAAAATATTCAGCAAATATGCTCTGTGTGCTGCAGGAAGGTTTTTCCTTGTCCTTCATTAACAAGGCCCTCTTAAACATAATTTTGTCATTGAAATAAGCACAGACAAGTAACAGCACTTTGCCACACAAAATCCAGATACCTGGATTTAATTCATATTTTATAAATTTAATTTTAATTTAATTCATATTTAATTCATATTTTAATTCCTTGGCTTACACCACTGCAAATTTAGGCATCACTTCTGCTACTTGATCTCCCTGGATTCCTTGGTAAATTCAAAAATTTGATAAGATCAGTAGGCAATGAGATCACTTGGTGCCTTTGTCATCTCTGAATTCCAAGGTTGAACAAAGCATATGGAGGACTTTCTGCCAAAGTGCTTGGAAAATCCTGAAGCAACCAACCAGACCCATTAGGCATCTAAGGAAGATCTTGCTAATTGGCTCTATCGTTTGGAGAATTCACAGGTCTCAGTGAGACACAGGTTAACCAGGAAGTGATCTGGATGAAAAATGACTGAAGACAATGTCCTCCACTTTCAGATTTGCAATCTGTTGCAAAGAAGTACATTAGGCAACCATTTTGTTTCAAAAGCATTCAAGGGCTTTTACTTTTGAAGAGTAAAACCTATCCTTGAAGAGCCAGTTTGATGTGGTGATTAAGGTGCTGGACTAGTAACCAGAGACTGTGAGTTTTAGTCCCGCCTTAGGCATGAAAGCCTTCTGGGTGACTTTGGGTCAGTCATTTTCACTCAGTCCAACCCATTTCATGGGGTGGTTGTTGTGGAGAAAACAGGAGGACTGGGTATTATGTATTATTATGTATGTTTGCCACTTTGAGTTACTTGTAACTAAATAACACACATTTTCACCTCTTACCATTCCCTCCCTCCAATTTCCTCTCTCAACTCTTAAAAAAGACAAAGTTGCCTTACCTACTCCAGAAGGTTTTATAGGCTGCTTGTGGTCCATGAACTTGACTCATGGCCTCATAACATCTGTGACCTAGCCATTGTAGCAAGTAAACTAGGGCTAAAATAAGATATAGGTCACCATGATAAATAAATAATCAGCCAAGTTGGGAGGTTGTAAGCTCTGATCATTGTGACTGTACCATCCTGTCCAATAATGCCCCCAGAAACCAATTGAAGCAGACAGATCATTCGCACTAATAAGACTCTTATTTGTATCTAGCCACAAAACTAGACATAAAAGTGATCCCAGCTAAAAAAAATCTTTTTCTAGGACATGAGCAAATAAGAGGATTGTCTCACTGCATAAATATACATAAGAAAGGATTAAGCAAATATATGCTACAACATGAAAAGGGATAACAATATTACTGCTTTGTGACTGATTTTAATATAAATTTAACTATGGGGTTGTTTATGTTAGTTTTAGCTAACCTATTTTATATCATTTTAGATGAGTTCAGAAAGGCAAAAATCAAGAAAGAAATCAACAAAGTAGCAACAGACAGGCCTCAAGACCTTTTGAAGTACTGTATATAGTAAAGTGTTTCAACCTTTACATATCATTTCACGAATTCTTCCATTGGCTTGCAGCTCTTTTGTAGTATTAAAGCTGTACTGTACTAAAACAATTGATTACAATTCCAAACCAAAGCTTCTCATGTTCAATTCCTCTACAGAAATGAATAGGAAATGAAACCAGTTAGGTGGCAATAAATAAAATAGTTCCCAAACTTCAGATGCAGATAATATATGGCTTAATGTAGGGTGAAAGATATTTAATATATAAGGATAGGTAAAAATAGAGAAAGGGCCAATTCAGAAATTGCTGCAATGTGGTCCTTTAAAACCACAATGCATATGTGGTTCACTGTATAAAAAAACCCTGCAAATGTAAACCAACATACTGTATATCTAAAATTGCATGCAGTTTTCTCTCTATATATGAGCTTTTCATTAATTTTCCTCTACCAGATGTTTTTTCCCCAGCCCCCTTTAACAGCTGCCTAACTATCTTAAAGGCTGAGAATGAGATAACAAAAGGATTTCAGGAATCAGCAACATAATATGAAAATAGCCAAGGTCAAATCAGCCAGTCATTTTAAAGTCTATTCTCTCTTATTTGTATTTCAATCTAAGTAAATCTTATGAATTTTCTAGACTGTTTGAGGTGATTCAAGAGTAATTCCTCTTTTACAAGTAACAGTTTAAGATTAGTTTTTGAAAAAAAAACATTATTTTCTTCAATGCATAAAATCCTCCTGTGTTTCCGTTAGCCAAGATTTTTAATATTTGTTCCAGACACTGTAGTACAGATATATTCTTAAAAAAACATAAAACATGAGATAAAAACTTACTCAAGACAGTGTTGCTCAATATTACATCTATTGTGAAATTGTGGACCACTATCACCCTTCAAAAAACTTCTAAAGGGAATATTTAACTGGCAGTGCATTTATTCTACATTCATAAAGCACATTGACATAGTTAATACAGTGGAGTAACCTGATGGTAAAACAACTGTCTCATATAGGTTAGTAGAATTAATAGAATAGTGAACTTTTCTGTGAATTTCAGGTTTGAGGGAACCCTTGCAAAAAAAGTGAATGGAAATATCAGTATATTTAGATGGCAATATCAAATTCCCAAGAGCAATCAACGAAGGATTGATTCGGCCTCTAACAGGACCAGATAAGACTTTTAGAATTCTGCTGGAATATGAAAACAAATATCTCAATGAAAGAAGCAGTGTGAATCTCAAGATTCAAGCCACCATTCTCAAGAGGACATGAACAGGATAGGGAAAACAATAAACTACAGTGTAAAAAATATAGGCATAGATGCAAACAAATCTTCAAATATTTGCATTGCACCTCTTAGTGTGAAGACTTATTCTTGGGTACATCAAATTCCACAGAGTCCTTCTGTACACAGCTTTACTAATTCAGTATCTTATTATCTCTTATCCTATATACCAGCCTTTATCTGATGACCTTTTCAGTGTTTTTCCTCTCTGCATCTTATTCCAGCTTGCGAGACTGCTTTCTTAGTAATCACTTGATCACTTTTGTGTGAAAAATAAGTAAGACAAAAAAAAGAGAAAAGTCCATCACAATTTTACATTAAC